ACGGGAGTCCGGGCTTGGGGAGCGCGGTACCTGGCCGGGCATCCTCCCCCTGGCTCCGGGCCTGCCCTTCAGCACCTCGCGGCAGGGTCTTGTAGGAGGCGGAGAAGCCATCCGCCGTGACACTGAGGTCAGAGACGAACTGGACGAGGAGCTCGTTCCCTTCGGAGGAGATGGGACTGCAGGTGGCGGGGCACCGGGGGAAGCGTCAGGGGGGGCTTGTCATCTCCGCCCTGGCTTGGCTGTAGCAGCTTCCTGACTTTGCAGGACCTACTCGCCTCTCGATCCGTGGACCCATCCTGGTGCCAAGCCAGGTCTCTTGCCTGGTCCCGTACTTGTTCCGCCCACCCGTTTGGGGCTCACAGGTTCAGATCCCGCCTCTTCAGCTAGGCCTGGCCTCTCCCCACCCCCCACCCCCACTCCCTACCCTAGAAAGGTGGAGACGCCCGGACCCACCAACCCCCCGGTCTGTCCCCTCACCCCGGGGCCGTGTCGCCGCAGAACTTCCCCAGCCTTTTGGCGTCATCGCTCACGGCTCCGTTGAACACGCTGACCGAGTCGTAGCGGCAGTAGGTGTCGGGCTCCAGGTCAAACTTGCCAAAGGTCAGCGAGATCACCTGTCCGCCGGGAGAGAGGAGGCTGCGCGGCGGGACCCTGGGCGGCTCGAGGGCGCGGAAGCCCTGCATCCCTGGCCTCCTCCGGAAGCTCGGAAGCTTGCGGCAGCCTCCTCTCCCCCCTCCCGTGTCCCCCGGAGCCCCCTCTTAAAGCATTCACACCACCGCTCCGAGGGTCACACGCCCAGGGGAACCCTTCGGCAGCATCTTCCGTCTTGGGCAAGGTCTAGTCCAGGCTCACGCTCGAGGAACAGACCCAGCATCACCTCCAGCGCCACCACATACACACACAAAACACCGTTTATAGATCAGCATTGTGTACCTCGCTCTCGTAAGACTCGTCACAGGTGTGATTTTACATTTTTTGTTTGAGTGCAAGCAGTTCTGGGTCTGTTTTTGCTCCCTAGCGCGAGCTCAATGGTCGGGACATTAGCAGATGGTCAGTAAATCTTTGCTGGCTGCATGCTGGAGAACGCCGCCTGGGTCCCCGAGGGCGGCCCGGGCAGGGGGTCGGTACCTGGTCCGGGGGCGCGATGATGTGCCAGGAACAGCTGATGCCCGGGGGGTAATCGGACTCGGGCCAGTTGGGCGTGGTCAGGGTTCCCTGGGCCTTCTCCAGCCGCCCCCCGCAAAATTGGTGCTCTGGGGAGGGGAGAAAGGAGTGGGGGTGGGAGGCGGTGGAGACCCTCCGTCAGCTCGAAGAGAGCTCTAGGCTGGAAGCCTGTGCTGGAAGCTCGGACGTCTGGGTCTCAGCATGAGGGGACGAGAAGAGGGGTAGGGAAGGGGGAGGTGTGGTTAGCAGAGAGCGGGCTTGGAGGAGCAGGGCTCAGGGGAGTCTTGGACCTCCGGCGCCCAGGCAGGCGGTGGAAGGGGGAGGAGGCATTGGCTGGACACGCTCCCTTCTCTCCCCTCCCCCTGACCCGCGACCACACCGCTCCTCTTCCCCTGGGAGATCCCATCTCCCCGGTCCGGCGGAAGAGTCCCCTTTGCAGGCTGGGGAAGCCCTCACGTTGTGAGGGTGCCCTCAAATTGGAGCACAGCCCCAGAGGCCTCTTTGGGGAGGTCTCTGCCTTAAACATTAAAATATTTAATGGGGAGACTTCGGCCGCCAGGAGGGGGTGATGGGACCGCAATCGGGAGCCCCGGGCTGGGTGTAGGGTGCTCCGGGTCGGGGGAACCTAGTCCCCCAGCCCGGGGGTGCCCGCCCCCTCATGCCCGTCTGAGGGAGCCCGATTGCGGACGGGGGCGGGCAGTTACTCACCGTCCCAGTAACCCCAGGCCGCCCATTCCACCCGCGGGTCGGTGACCCATTTCCGCCTCGCGCCTGGGGGGGGGCCCGGGAGGGGGGGGGGGGGGGGGGGGGGGGGGGGGGGAGAGAAGACGGGGAGGAGGGACTGAAGGGGCAGTTAGTGAGGAAAAAGGGTAAGGGAGGTAATGGGGGCCCTAGGCTCTCGGGCGCGGGGTTTGGCTCGGGGTGGAGGTTAAGGCTGGGGGCGGGGCCTGCGCCGGGGGCGGGGCCAGGGGAGGGGGGAAGGCGGAGGTGAGGGAGGTCTCACCAGTGCCTGAGGTGGCCCTCCCGCTGTACCAGAGCAGGAAGCCTCGTCCTCCCGTGCCCTCGTCCGCCGTCATTCTTAGGGTCACCTGGTTGCCGGGGGCGACCAAGGGCGCAGGCCGGAAGGTCCCGCAGAAGCGTCCAAGCCGCTGGCCCGAGGTTCCAGACCCGACAAAGACCTCCAGGGCATCATAACGGCAGGCCGAGTGCTGCTCCAAGTCGAAGACGCGGAAGGAAAGGGACACAGTCTGGCCCTCAGGGACCTGAAGGCGGGGACAGCGAAGAGGACCTGCAAAGTCAGGCCACACAAAACCCAGGCGGAGGGTACTTCTCTTTCCCCAAGCATCTCATACAGAAACCGGGCCAGAACAGGAAGGGACCCCATCAGAGTGCAGAGCAGAGGGCCTGGGCCCCGCAGCAGCTTGTGGCTTGCGCAGGGGACAAGACCTGAGGGCAGGAATGGGGTTCGGAGTGGACGAGCGGGCCCTGAGTTAAGGAAGGTGTGAGGACACATTGCCACGTGTTATTGTGGGCACTGCCGCCCTCAGTGACCAGAGGGGACGGGCTTGGACTTCCCTGGGAGAAGGGGTGGTGCAGGGACCGGAGTGGGGAGCAGGAGGTCGGTCGGCAGACTGGGGTTCCCTTAGCAGTCAGGCCTGGGAGACTTCAACAAGGGGGTAGTGATCAGAAGGGCCTTCTCACCGTTATTGTCCAGATGCACTCCTTATTGGGGGGGTAGAGGTTGGGGAAACCCTCACTTGCCACGTAACCTGACTCCCCGGTCACATCCCCTCCACACAGGAACACGGGTCTGGAGAACAGGAGAGGGGTCAGCCATGAGTGAAGGAGAGCTTGGGAAGGATAGGGTACTGAGGATGGGGGGGGGGCGGCAGGGAGGGAAGCCAGGGGGATGGAGGAGGAAGGCCTAGGGGATCTGGGGCAGCCTCAGCCAGCCAGACCTGGATTGAGAGGATTAGGAACAAGTGGGGCCAGCAATTTGGCTGTCTCCAACACCCCTAAATCCCCACCCCCACCCCAACAGGAATTCCCGGAATCCTCCCCAGGCTGTTCCTCACTCTCCCCCCTCGCCCTGCCTGGCAGTCGGGGACAGGAGCCGCCTAACTACTTCCAGATGTGGACACAGCCACGAGGCCATGGGGGGGGAGGGGGCGGAGAGATGAGCAGCAGCAATGATGGCCCTCACGTTGAACCTGGAGACCAGATTTCCCCAGCTCCCAACCTTTGCCCTGCTCCTGTTCCTGCTAAATACTTGAGTATCTGACTCCCAAGTCTCCCACTCGCTCCCCCCTCCCCCCCCACCTCTGATTCCCTCCTGGAATCCAGATGTCCAGCTACCAGGCAAGTTCAGGGTCTTGGTGCTCTCAGGTTCCACGGGGGGCCAAGGGTCTGGGTGGATGGGGAGACTTGGGGGACAGGGGACAAAGGGTGGAGGAACGGTGGGGGGGGCAGTGGTGACCCGCAGAAGATTGTGGTCTTGCAGTAGGGAGGGGGAACTTGGGGGCTAGGGAAGACTTGGGGCTGCAGGAGATCTGGGGGGTGGTGTGTTAGTGAAGGAATCCACAAGATCCACAGGCAAAACCCCCAGGAATCAGGGCTTTTGACGCTCACTCAAGCTATCTGGAAGGTGCCAAGAGACCTACCTGGTATAGTTGGGGGTCTGGCCCTGGGCGAAAGGTAGCAGGGCCCAGGCAGTGAGGACCCCCAAGAGGGAGGCTGTGGCAGCAGGCAGCATGGCCGGGGGGGAGAGGCGCTGGGGTCCTCGAGGCGGCAGCTGAGTTTAGCGGCGGCAGCAGCCGGGATAATCAGTGCCAGATGAGGCGGCCTCGGGTGTGTGGGCGTGGGGACTGGCCAGTGGGGCGGGCGGTGGGGAAGGCGGGACAGGGAGAGTTTAGTCGGGACAGTGGTGAGTCCAGGGGCCTCTCTACATCCAGGACACATAAATATTGACCTAAGGAGGGGGTGGAGCAATGAAGGGCAGAGGGAGCATCGACCCTCAGCCATAATGCAGGCATCAAGTACGGTCATCTGGAAGCCCACTCTGCCGGGTGCCCGAACATCCTGCGAACACAGCCTCTGGTCCTTCCTCATGATCATCCCCATGTCTGCCTCCTCAGCACCCACAGGAAGTCCTTCCCTTGACCCCCCCAACATCCAGTCACTCACCCCTTCCTAACTCCCCCCCCCCCCCCCCCCCCCCCCCCCCCCCTTTTTCCCTTCAAGTTTCTACTGTCTTCTCCCCATCCCTGGGCCAGACCAGGCCAAGGAGAAAATTCTTTCTGCTCACCCATTTTTCTCTCCCAAATATTTGGAGGCATGGTATGTGGATAAAGGGAGCCTCCCCCTCATTGAGGAAGAAGAAGATGGAGGAGAAAATGAGGGAAAGGGACAGCACGTGAGACTAGAGCTGGAAGGTAAATGGGAGGAGGGGAAGAGGGGGCTGACTCCGCAGGGACCGAGGGAAATGGGTAGGAAGCTCTGTGAGGTCAGAAGCAAGTGGCCTCCTCAGGATGGGAGTAAGTCTGAGGGACAGAGGATCCGAGTAAGAGAACCAAGTAGCATATGTTGACTGCATTGTTCCAGAAGGTGGGGCTTGGACTTCCAAGTCTAGAAGCCTGGGCCAGTCTTGGGAGTGGGAGGGGAAAGCAAACAGAGATTTAGGGGGTCAGGTCCGCCGCAGCACCTGAATGCTTGAGCCGCTTCTGCCCCGCCCACCCCCGGCCCCTCTCCTGCCCTCTGGTGCCCACCGAGCCAGGCATTGGGCCCCCCCCCGTTCCCTGCCCCATTTTCCTCCCAGGCCCCAGGGCTCCAAACCGGGCCTCACTTCAGCCTTTTATTCTATTTGTCCATCAAATCTCTTGTCCATGATAGATTGGGGGCCCCTCCTGGGCAGCCCCCCCGAACAATCTTACAAAACAGTTCCCGGTTCATCCTGGCACGTCTAGCAATCTCCACCCCACCCCCCCATGTGCACATGCAGTGTTTACTGCTACCACCCCATTTCTCCTTAGCTCCTGGCCCAGGGCCAGACTCTCCCTCCAGGGGTGAGATTAGGAGAGGGGGGGTCAGCTCTCAGGGGTTGGGGGGCCTGAGCCAGCCCCCGCAGCAGTCCTCTGCAGCAGGTCCAAGGCCTCCCAAAAGAAATCCTTCTGTGCGGCCATCAAGGGCATCCAGCCCACGATCTCCTTCATCTTTTCCATGCGATCCTGCAATGTGGGGCAACTGTGGATCTGGTTGAGGTACTCCTCACAGGCCTGGGCCGCCCCCCCAGGGTCCTGGGATGCTCCGGCCCCCAGGCTGGGCTCGGGGGTCCCCACCACCCTGCTGGCTGGAAGGTCCCGATAGGTGGGGTGGTGCTCGACGTCATGGCTGGACAGCATGTAGAGACACTCTCTGGTAGAGCAGAGGGAACAGGCACACAAAGGGACCTTGGAGGAGAGAAGGGGCGTGGCTGAGTGGGGCCTTTACTGAGGGGCTCCCAGGAAGCCCCAGCTGTTGTGTTCTTCCCTCTCAGAGCAGCCCCGAGCCAGCAAGTGAGCTCGGACTGGCCAAGCCCCAAGGTTGTGTGAGGTCAGAGAGGGCCAGCAGGGTCTGCTAAGGGAGAGAGCCAGGAGCCGTGGTGTGGGGCTGGGAAGGGAGGCAGGTGGTGCCGGGACGATGGGGCCCCCGGGTTCCTGCAGGAGCCCCGGCTACGTTGCTGTGCCACCTCGCTCTAATTGCTCCTGCCCTCCCTGGTTGCCTGCTTGTCTGACAGTGCTCTGACCTTGACGTGGAGCTTCACGAAGGAGGCACTCCCCTTAGGCCAGCCAGGGAGGCGGCCCCCAGCCCCACAGCCGCAGCCCAGCAGCTCCTTGCTGAAGTCCGAGCCCTGGCTCAGCACCAGGGAGTGGTTGAGGCCACACCACAGGGCAATGGGGCGTTGCAGATAATGCACCTGAGGACACAGAGCCAGGATCCCTAAGGTGGGAACGCCAAGGACCTGGGGGCCCCGGATAGGACAGGAAGGCCCAGGGAAGGATCTAGGGAAACGAGGAGAGGAAAGCGGAGGGACTCAGCGCCCCCCCACCCCACCTGCCACCCAGCCAGGAGGGAGACCAGCAGCAATCCCCCCCTCCTTGGTTCTCCTGCAGCCCCAGTCGGACTGCACGGGGTCTAGCACTTCTGCTGGTTCCTCGTCTTTGCTCCCCAGAAAACAGGCTACTGGTCTGAGCCCAGGGTCGGCTATCTGCTCCCTCATTGTCACCCCAGGCCTGTGCCAGGCCAGCCTCTCATCCTGCCTTCCAGCCCGGGGAGGAGGGCTATCCTTCCTCTTCCCAAAGCTGAAAGACCCCCTCCCTGTGCAATTCCAGGTCAGCCCCCAGGAAGGACTTTCCTTCCACTTACTCCTCCCTTCTCTCTCCAGCATGTTCAACTTGTCCTATTGCTCTCTTTCAAACTGGCGACCCTATTTTGAAAAACAACATTGCCACCTGATTCCTGCGGCTTCCGATGGCTGTCTTTTAGGCAGCAGAACTGGTTACATGACCAGTCTGGGGCTGACCCCATTCTTGTTCTCACCACAGCCAGGCTTTCTCTGCTTACTAAGCTACTGACATGTTCTCTCCAAATGCACTTGACCTCCCGGCTGCCAAATCCCAGGGCCTCTCCTGCACACTTCCTCCTGAGATCATGAGGGCTTTAATTTTGAAGATACAGGTTAAGTAATTTAGGGTCATCATAGAAAAATTATAAAATATTGGTGAGCAAAGATTAATTTAAAAATCACTGGCAAGGGGCGCCTGGGTGGCTCAGTCGGTTAAGCACCCAGACTCTTAATATTGGCTCAGGTGTTAATCTCAGGGTCGTGAGTTCGAGCTCCGTGTTGGGCTCCACGCTGGGTATGGAACCTACTAAAAAAAAAAAAAAAAAAAATCACTGGGAATCCCACCACCTACTGTGAACATCTTGCTGGATATTCTTCTTCACTGCTGCTTGTGTGTGTGTGTATGTGTACGTATGTATAAATTGTATATATATATTTTTTTAATTGTATATTTTTAAACAAAAATGGGATTGTATTATATAAAATAATTTCACACTTTTTTTTTCACCGAAAAATATGGCCTGACCATCTTTCTGTGTCAGTAAGTATAGTCCTGCATTATCTGTCACCATGAGTCACCCCCTCCTGTTTGAAACTCTCTGAGCCCACGCTTCTGGGATTTGGCATCTGAGGGTGTGCCCCTCCGGTCTCAGAGACGGCCTTTTCATTCCCTCTGCCTACAACATCGGCTCCTGCCCGGGCTTTGCTCCTCTATCCCTACTTCTGTCCGTGTCAGCCTAGTTCTGACATGGAATCTAATGGCAAGGAGACATTTCCACTTTAGAAAAAGTCCAAAGTCATGCCCTGCCTCTTCCCTCAAGCCAGCCTCCCCTCCACGTTCGTAGGCATGCCATCTTTCTTCAAGGGGTCTCGCGCCAGAGCCCCTTTTGTCCTCAGGGCCTTCTCCTCACATCTCAGCAGAGCCTGTTCATTTCCTTCCAAAACATCTCCGGGATCCATTCTTTTGGGCCCTCACTGCCCCCGGCTCTTGTCTCAAGTGCTGTTGGGGCTCCACAGTCTCCCAGTGGGCTTCTCATTCCGCAGCCTCCTGTTCTCAGTCATCCGTGGGGGTTACGTTCTGCTCCCGAAACCTGCAGTGACTCTTTCCCAAAGCTATGTTTCTCCGGGCTCACCCCCACCTGCACCGCCTCATATCTACCGGTTTCTGAAACACCGTCTCTGCTTTAGGTATGTGCCAGCTGCGTTGTCGTCCCCACTATGCAGAATGCCTCTCCCTGTGCCCACCCGAATCCGATCTCAGCCACCAGGCCCTGATCACATCTCACCTCTTCTGGTTAGACCAGCCCCCCCCCCCCACCCCCCACCCCGGTCTCCCTGCTTCACTGAATTCCTATTGCACTTACAGCAAGCACTGCACAGAACGGACCTCATAGTGCCAACCCTGGGAAAGACATGCACCAGTAGTACCACAGGCCTTACGCACTGGTTGGCTTAACTTCCCCAGGGAGTAAGGAGTGGATTCTAAAGAGAGTGGAGAATCGGAGAGATCCGGGGGTTAGGGAATTGGAGGAAGGGGGTCCGGATGAGAGTAACTGAGAAACAGTCTCACCTGTGTGGGTTCCCCTCGGTCCATTCTGTCCCCTGTTCCCAGCTGCCCGTATCTGTTATTTCCCTGCATGAAGAGTCGGCCAAATTCATCCACCAGGCCAAGGTGATTGTAGCCAAGAGCGCAAAATAGGATCTAAGAAGTAAGAAAGAGGAGGTGGGCATTCAGTTCCCTCCAGAGGAACCCTGAGCTCCGGAATCTCCCAGGTGCTAACCTGCCATTCCCAGCTGACTTCTTTTGGCCTCGCCCGCTGCCTCGCCCCTCTCTCTGGGTCCCCTGTCCCTCCCTGAGCAATCATTTGATCCCTGCTCATATTTCAGACCTCTGGTACCTTTCAAACCCTAACCCACCCCCCTCTGCCCACCCCCTGGTCTGCCCCATTCCTCCAGCATCCTACCTTGGCAGGCAGTGAGAGAGCAAGTGGCATCTGCTGGTCCAAGGGGTCAAAGGCTTGAAGGGTCCCAAAGAGATCACGATACACCCCTGGGGTATGCACCTCAAAATACACTCCCCCCTGGTCTGGGGGGTCAGGAGCCCTCAGCTCAGCAGCTTTGGGCACCTATTTCCTAGAGCTAAGGCCCTACCTGGGATAAAAGCTGTAAGACCCGGGGTGTCTCACACCCACTAGCAATACACCAGCTATGATATCTGGGGACCTAAACTCATCTTTCCACTAGGATGCCCGAGAGGGTCCACCACAGAGCTGGAGTAAGTATCAGGGGGCGCCGTCCATATCTGGAAGGTCTGTTTAAGACCAGGGTCTGGAGAAGAAGGAAGGTGGTCCTTACCTGTGATGTAGAGAGTACTGCTCTGGTTGGAAGCCATGCCGGCCACACGAAGGTGAGGCAGGCAACGGGACACCTTCCTCAGGGCCAGCTGAACTGTGTAGGAGCGCGGCTGGTCCAGCTGGGTTTCATTCACTACCAAAGAGTAGATCTTTCCTTCCTCTGGGAGATGGGGAGAGGCAGATAATTATGTGGGGGAGGGGACCCCCCCAATATCCACATTAAGTTCCCAGTAGACCCTCTAAGCCATACGGATGAAACATTTACTGCCCTGGAGTGGGGCTGGAAGAAAAAGGGTAGAAATGGAATAAGGGAAGAGTGACCTTGAGTTGTCCAAACTCTAGCCCTTTACCACCAAAAATAAATCAGGGAAGTCCTGGGGTGTGAAAGACGAGTGGAGAGAACACCTAATAGTCAGATTTGGCAGAATCCAATTGGAGTGTTAGGAAGAATGATGCTGACAAATCGGGGCCCTGCCTGGCATGAAGAAGTCCAGAGGGTCTCAAGCTTGGGAGTGTGGTCAAATAAGGGGGACAGGGGCACGAGTCTGGCTCAGTCAGAAGAGTTTGTGACTCTTGATCTCGGGGTTGTGAGTTTGAGCCCCACATTCGGTGTAGAGATTGCTTAAATAAATAAAACAAAAACTTAAATATATATATATATATATATGTATATATATATGACAATGAGCAAGTTGGGGGGGGAGATTTGGGGAATTAAGTGTAGTGTCTAACAGGGAGGTTACAAAAGTTAGAATTTTTAAAAACTGGCCTTCCACTAGAACAGTGGTTTCTAAACTATTTTTTGCAGCAGCGCCCTTTACTCATATGAAACACACAGAATCTTAGATGAGGAGACAGACAAAAAAGCAAAGCTCTTGGGTTTGAGAGCAGGATGAGTTGACTTGCAGAAACCCATGTGAGAGCCCTCCCCCTCCCCTGCAGCAGGTCCCGAAGAATCTGTAGAAAGCAATTTGCAAACCACTGCTCTGGGCCACACCTGTGAGAAGCAACAGAGCCCGCTGGGTCTCCTGACCGACCAGCACGATCTGTTTGAAGCTCATGGAGTGGTGGAAGGTCATCTTGAAGACCCGCTGCCCACTGGACTGCAGATAGACCTCGACACAGTCACAGGCCCGGCTGCCAGTTGTGCCTACCACACCTGGCTGCTCCCGAGTGGCCAATACATAGAGGTATTTACGGTAAACTGTGTCACATCTTGGGTCCGAGGCAAACTGTAGGAAGAGATGAAGGTGTCTGGGATCTAGGCCTTGGAGTGGAATGAGGCTGGGCCAACGGGATCCTGGGGTGAGAGATGAGGTACTTGGGTTCAGGGCTGGGAAACGAGGACTTGTTTCTCAGTTCCTGGGACAGGAGGGCAACTGTCCCAAGGAGAATATCTCAGGGCTGGTGTGGGCCCTGCGTCCCCCCCCCCGCCCCCCCCGCCCCCGCAGGAGGGGTGGGGTCTCGGCTGCCAGGGCTCTGCTACTCACATCCTTGGCTCCGCGACACAACACAACATAGCGGCAGGCTCGCTTCCACTGGATCTGGCCAAGGGTAGAGGAGACCAGGGCATTTTTGAGAAAGAAGAGGGTCCCCACGTAGTCAAGAATGAAGACGTGGTCCTTGGTGGGCAAGAAGCGGCGGTAGCCATGGGCTAGCAGGGGGGCTACACTCTTGCTGAGACAGCGGCGGCGGCCCCCAAATGCCTGGAAATACAGGCCCTTCGTGTCTGGAGAAGGGAAGGAGATGGAAGGCTCAAGGGCTCAGGATGGCACAAGGGAGAGGAATCAGAGCTTGGGCAGACTAGATTTCTTGGGTAGCAATGGTATTTAGCAGCTCCCGTACCTAAGACTGGGGAACAGACCCCTTCTAAAGGACACTGGAAAGCTCAGAGGACATCTTTAATAATCCCCTATAGAGGATATCTTTAATAATCCCCATGCCTGAACTTGAGTTCTCTGTCCCCCTCTGCCCCCCAGCCCAGGGCACTACACATGCTTCTAAGTGAGTGCTTCTTCAGTCCAACCTTGCATCAGAGACATCAGGGGGAACATAATACATAGAAAAGCTGCAAAAAGAGGACTGGAAAAGGGTGAGTGAGAAAGGCCAGTAGCCCCCCTCAGCCCTTGCTCCGGAGCTGCTATCCGGATCAGATCTGGATCTCCCTTAATCTCAAGTACTTGCATAGGGGCTCCCTGGGAATGGTTTAGAGCATGTTTCTCAGCCTGGGGTGATTCTGTCCCTCAGGTAACACGGACGGTCACAACTGGGGGGAGGTTTGCTCCTGGCATCCGGCGGGTGGAGGCCAGGGATGCTGCTAAATATCCTGCAATGCACAGGACAGCCCCCCCCACTCCAAATAACTATTTGGCCCCAAATGGCAACAGTGATGAGGTTGAGAAACCCTGGTTTAGAGGAGGAAAAACTCCACGTTTGGGGAGTGGAGGAGGTGTCCGGGATTTGGACAGAGACTTTGAATATGGAGGGAGGTTTGTCATGGATGCTAGTAATGCGGGTCCATCAGAGGGTGGAGCTAGAGGCTTGCAGTGGTGGAGGGCGTATGTTTTGAATCTCTTCCAGGGAAAGGGGCCCGGGAAGTTTGGCCGGGAATGCTGAGGCGACTCTAGGGAACTGGAGGGACCCCAGAATAAGGGAGGACAGAGGCAAAGAGAAGGGGAGTTTCTGGGGAGGTGTACAGTTAAGAATGGCAGCTCTCTTCCAGGGCCGGACCCCAGAACCCTGCTCTCGTAGGCGAGGACTCAGCCTGCGACAGATGCGTCTCCACACGCCCTCGGCATCGCACACTTCGTGGAAGTAGTGGCAGGTCTGGCCCAGAGCGACCACATCTCTGACTGGGAGGAATGAGATGATATGCTCCACCTGGGGGGCAGGAGGGAGGAGGCAGGGATCACCGGGGCCCCTCAGCGCTCTGGCCCCCTGTCCTTTACTCTTAAGACCACCTCCCTGCGGAGGACTCACCAGCTCTGGGGGGAACAGCTGAAGAGAAATAGGGTTCCCTCTCCCCTTCTTCTCTTCACCCCCAGGCTCTGGGCCACATGAAGGGCAGCTCCGCTTCACCTACCCAAGGAGAATGGGGAGCACAGGGGTTCCATGAGAGTCAGGCCTCTTTTGCTCCCTTCTCTCAGCCTGTCTTTCATTAGCTACTTTCTTGGGGGCTCACAGCTCTGTCTTCCAGCTCCGTGTCCTCAAATCCTCCCATCTTTCTCTCTAGGTCCATGGGTCACCCCTCCCTATCTGCCGTGTGCCTTGGTCCACCGGCTCCAAAGAACCCCCCCCCCCCCCCTCCGATCTCTGGCTGCCATCTTCTTGTCCTTCCCTTGGCTCGCTCGCCCCTCACCCGGAGCCCCTCCTCCCGACCGCACAGCCCGGTGACTTTTTGCAGCTTTTGTCTCCGGCTTCTCCTCACCATCCTGACTGCCCCCTCCCTGCTCCTGCCCTCATCTCTCCGGGCCCCTTGGCCCCCCCGTAGTCAGCTCCCTGGCCCCCGTCCCTGCTGCCTTCCCCACACCATGTCCCCCGCCTGGGCTTGGGGGACCTCTGGGGCCCCTCTGCCTCCTAGGCCCCTCCCCCATGGAGTCTGGGAAGACAAAGCTCTCTGTGACCTCACTGCCCAGCCACTGTGACCTATTTTCCCCAACCTGGCCTGGGATTTTCTCTTAGACAGCTCCTGGGTTCTAGCTCAGCTCTAGCCACCCGATGGCTCATGGCATATGCATTTTACAGGAGAGAGAAAGTGTGATCTACTGGTAGATGAGGCCTTTCCTTTTGGGGAGTAGTTGTGAGGTTCCTCCAATTGAGGCCCTTTTAGCACTAACTCTACTCCGTAGAGAAACACTGGTGAATTCTATCTCAGCAGGCTAGGGCCTCCAGGGGATTTGTAGTCCCCGAGTATAAACTCAAAAAAAAAAAAAAAAGTATAAACTCAGTTTGACAGGTGAGGGGGGGAATGGTGACCCTGCTAGACTCTCCTACAGGAGAGCATGCACCAGATGAAAGTGGGAATAATTCACAAATTCTTTTTTTTTTTTAATTTTTTTTTTTAAAGATTTTATTTATTTGAGAGAGAGAGAGAGAGCACATGAGAGGGGGTTGGGTCAGAGGGAGAAGCAGACTCCCTGCTGAGCAGGGAGCCCGATGTGGGACTCGATCCCGGGACTCCAGGATCATGACCTGAGCCGAAGGCAGTCGCTTAACCAACTGAGCCACCCAGGCGCCCAATTCACAAATTCTTTAGTCTCATAAAGCACACTCAAAAGCAGATTTCCTGGACAGTAACATCAAAGCCTGTATGAAGGACAACCTATCAGGGTGGCAGAAAGGGACAGAATTACTCTGAACCTTGGGGTATCTCCCAGAGTCTAAGCTTTTAACATAGTCTTATGGGGGGAGAGGGGTGCCATGTACGAGCAACAGCAGGATTTGGGAGTGTGTCTGTCTAGGTAGGACCAAAGGATCTACACCAATAAATCCAAGGAGTAACCGGGTCTTCCAGGAGCTCAAAGCTATCCAGTCCTGGACAACCAGCACTCAGCTGCCTAGTACTACTGAATTTATAGCGCTAGCTAATCGTCAACCACCCAAACTCCCTTATTCATGGTGAGTAGTAAACAACTAGTTTGAGACACCGTGGATGGAATTTTAATCATTCAGTAAATGTTTAGGGATGTCAACATTTGAGATGTGATTTATAAGAAACTTAAAGTGGTCTGCGTTCAGGCAACTCTGACCATAGCACATGGACTATGTTATGCCACCTAAGAGGATGCTGAGATCTCTCAGCAGACAGAAAAAGGATCGTCGGCTTCCTCTGGTGTCTGGGCCCCCCTTTGATCCACTCCATTTCAGCTCAGGAGGCGAAGAAAAGGGTGCAGATAGAAAAAGCCCACCACAGAAGCTGCTGGGAAACGGTGGGAAACCGGGCTTCTAGAGCAAGCGGTCAGTAACTTGCGGTTTGCTCTTGCCAACCCATCAACTTCTCTCCGCCTGTTTCCTCATTTGTAAAACGGAGGGCTTCTTCTAGAGGGCACGGTCCCTTCTGGACTAACACCCACCCCCCCCCCCCCCCCCCCCCCCCCCACCCCCCGGGCTCGTCATCACAGTGTCCCGTCCAGGCGCGCTCTTCGGGGGCGGGCTGGCCAGCCGGGCGGCAGCTCTGAAGGCTCTCCGGTCTCCCGTAACCCTTCCTCCAGGAGCTGAGCTGCGCATCTCCGGTCTCTGGGAAGCCGCCCGCCCGCCGGGGCTCCGGACACCGCCGCAGGGCCTCAGCCTCCGCAGCCGGAAAGGCCTCCACGGTCCCTTCGGATGCCAACGACCCGCTGCGCACTGGCCTCAGGCGTCGCCTGGCCCCCACCCCGGCCTCCCTCGCGCCCTCAGAGCGGGCTCGCTCCCTAACATTTCCAGGCCGTACGCGCCACTCCAGCCCCTACACTGGTCCCGGCCCGCCCGGCGCGCAGCGCTCACATTCTTTACCTCAGTCTCAAAGTTCTAGCTCACCCGCCTCCTCCTAGGCGAAGGGACCGCCTTCTCGCCCATGCTATTGGTAGGTACAGCCGTCCCTCAGAGAAGAGGCCGGGCCAGGTTCCCTCCGGAGGATCTAATTGGCCTTCTCGACAGTCACTCGCCTGTATCTGGCTTGCGATTGGCCTCCGTTGGAAGAAAACCAGGAGCCCCGGCTTGCGGTCACTCGGCCTCCATCCCTTCTAGTGGAGGGCTGGCGTCCCCGTCTCCTAGTTAGACCTGATTGGCTCCATCCCCAGCCCTAAGCATTGCGATTGGATGCGGCTGCGCGGGGCGGGCCGGCCTGAAGCGTCGGCCGTTGGCGAGCGCTCCATTCTAGCCCCCTCCCTTCTGTCGCCTCACTCCGGCGCTGGAGTCTCCACCCCCCCCGGCGGGTTCTGATTAGCCACTTCCGACGCGTCTCGGGGCCGCGATTGGTCCGCCGGGTCCCTGAGCCCGTCTCCCCCCGCGTTGAAGCGACTACGGCGGCTCCAAGGAGGGGGAGGGGGTAGGAGGGACGGCCGGTCCCGTCAGTCAGGCAGCGGGAGCCGCCGGGAGCGGATGGCGGCGGCGGTAGCGGCCCCACTCGCCGCCGGGGGTGAGGAGGCGGCGGCCACGACCTCTGTTCCAGGGTCTCCGGGTCTGCCCGGGAGCCGCAGTGCAGAGAGGGCCCTAGAGGAGGCCGTGGCCACCGGGACCCTGAACCTATCTAACCGGCGCTTGAAGCACTTCCCCCGGGGCGCGGCCCGCAGCTACGACCTGTCAGACATCACCCAGGCTGGTGAGTGCACCCGGCCCGGTACCCGGCAGGGACCCTCATTTGCATGGCCCCGCCCCTGGCTCGTTTCTCGCCGGGCTCGAGAGTCTAGCCCGCCCCTTCACCTGACCGTCGGGGTTCTCGACCCCGCCGATTTGCATAAGCCTGCTACCTCCCCCTCCCCACTTTGAGAACTACCAGACAATGGACACTTTTCTCGTTCGCACGGAATGCCCGGCGCCCCGGCCGAGCGTTGTGAGAATTCCCCGTCTTCTGCTTCTCTTTATTTGCATATCCGCGCACCTGTAGAATGGTCCCGCCCCTCACCTGGTTGACTCATTTGCATGACCTCTTCAACCTCGGTTCTGATCGTTCCTTAAAGCAGCCCCCACGATCCCCTCTGAGGACTCCTTTCTCTTCCTGCACTTCGTCTCCCAGCTCTTTCCTCCCCGTTCCACCGAGACCCGAGCAGCCTTAGGCCCCCCCCCCTTCCCTAGGATTTGCCCCTAACAACCTGGTGTTTCTGTTTACTGTGCTTGTTGTCCCGCCCCCTAAGGTCGCTGGCCCTCTCCACTCTTCACTCAGCTAGCCTATGGGAAAGAAGCAAATCTTCCACCTCCCCTAACGCTGTTCTCCTCGAGCTCTTCCACCTATTATCCTTGACCCCCGTATCCGAGACTCCTCCTCCTTCTTGCGTCTGTGAGGTCACTATGGAGCCTGTGACCTCATAGGGACCCTAGAATTCCCATTTCAGCTTCTGCTTTCCCAAGGGGGAGGGACTTGAGGCAGTTGCTGAAAGGAAGGAAATCTTATCTCCTGGCTAGGAGTGCTGGGAAGCTAGAGACTGTCCCACTGCCTGTCCACTCCCCCACTCACAGATCCCTCTAATCATGCTCCCTCCTTCCTGGTGTCTTGCTGCCAGGGTGTGGGGGACTCTACCATGACAGGTGAGTCAGGCCTCAGCTGCTCAGGAGGCAACAACCTATGACCTTGGGCTGGCAGCTGGGGGGTGGAGATTGGGAGTGGGGAGGAGGACTGCATTCCCGAAGCCCCACCCTAGCCTAGCCCAGGGTGGGACTTGGGGCTGGGTGAGCGTCCTCCCGTCCTCCGGATGACACTGCTCTGCGACAGCCTGTATTTCTTCTCCAGCAGGTGCCTCCTCACCTGCAAACACTCAAGTGGGCACAGGCACTCTCTTTCCTCCACTGTTCTGGGGAGGACCAGTTTAAACCTCTCCACTTTTCTTGGGCTGCTGGGTAAACGCACTTGCCCACCATGCAGTGAGTGACTTCAGGGAACGGGTGAGCCCCAGGAGCCATTCGTCTCCCTCTCAGTCTCCCCCAGCCGCCTAACCCCCAAGCTCCAGATTGACCTCAGCAGCTGTGTGACACTCGCCCGTCTGTTCCCTTTCCCCTCCCCCTTGCTTGTTTTTTGACAAAGACCAAATGTTATTCTTTACTTCCTTAGGGCTCTGCCTCTGTGAGTGGACTCCTGGGGGAAACTACCAAGAACTCCCTGGCCCCTCCCAGCTCCTGCCCCCTCCCACCCCCCTCCACCAGCATTCCGGCTCAGGGTGCAGGCAGTTCTGAGTGAGCTTGTGTGTTGAAGCGGGAAAATCCCAGCTTCCTGAGGACCTCTTCCTGTCCTGCTCTCCACGCAGAAACCCTGAGTCCTTTCTGGGCCCAGGTTGTAGGCCAGGTGGAATCTGTCTCATCCAGAACGTTCTCCTCTGACCCCTCTCCCCAAGCAGAATGCTTATAGTTTGGGGTGGAAAAGGGAAGTGACAGTCAGTGTTGCCCATACCCTGTGCTCTACACCTCCTTGCCCTCCAACCCAGACTAAACACTTCAACACTCTGCCACATTATTTTGAGCCCTATCCTGCTTTCCCAACTCTTTCTGACCCATTGTTTGCCCTGCATATTTCCTATTGCACAGGTCTCTGATATCCCCTGGACTCTGTTCCTTGGGGCCCCTGAAAGTAGGATGAATCCTGAGGTGGCGGGGAGGGGCGGCTCTCGCAAAGGAGAAGTGCAGCTCATTCTCTTACAGACCACATCCTGTGCCTCCTGTGCCCTGCCTCCTCCAGCCTGGGCTCCCTTCCGCTCCTAGCTTTTGCCCCCACCACTGCTTAGCCCGTCTTGTCCTCCACCCCCTTCATCCACAGCATGCGCGCGCGCGCGCGCGCACACACACACGCACATTTGTAGATGCAGGGAGAGCAGGCAGGTGGAGGGCCAACGTAGGAGGACTGCATCTGGCCGTCTCACCCTCTCCGGAACTTGGTCTTCTCTCTTGACCGGTCTTCTCTCTCTGCATACCAGGGCTGTGAGCAGAGAGGGAGATAAAAGGAGGCCTGGTACATCAGGCTATCATCCGCCCTGGTAAACATAGGGCCCACCAGAGACGGAACCTGACAGATCGTTTCTACTCCATTTCCTGTCATGAGACTCATTTCCTTTGGGGATATACCCCAGCTTCCCTCCCATCAGCTTTTGCTCACCCCTTCCTGGGGAGGGCTGCCTAAGCAGCTCACCCAAGTTCTATTGCCAGGGACATCCCCCTGCAGGCCCTGGGCCCCTCCCAGTGCAGGCGAGGAGAGAAAACAGAGACCCAGGCTTGCAGAGCTCTGAGCGGTTAGTGTCCCCAGACTGGCGGAAACCCCAGAGGCCTGACTCCTTTCACTGGAGTGGCAAGCGACCGCTTGAGATAAGGGGTGGTCATAGGCTTTACCCTCCCTACTTCCCTCCCCGCTTCTCACCCAGACCAAGACACCGGCAAAAGAGCTGAGTGCCTAAAGCCGGGGTCAGTAAGAGAGGAAGGAGAGAAAGGCCGGTGGGGCTGGAAAAGGGTGGGAAGGAGGCTGGTCCTGAAGAAGGTGTATCCGGATGGGAGGGACCTGAGGACTCCAGCTTCCACCTCCAGCTTGGTCAGCTCGCCTTCCCCTCCTGGTCCTTGGGAGTCTGTTCCTTCACAGACCCTTGGACCTGGCTTGCTGATCCCAGGGGCTGAGGAAGAACCGTTGTCCAGTGTGTCAGGAGCCTTACTTATTCTCGAGAGCCAGACTCTAATGACCCTTGGCTTCTTCCCTGTGTTGAAAAGAGGTTGAGGCTGGGGACAAGGCCCCCCAAGGAGGGACGGAAGAGGGATGAGCTATTTCAGTGGTCTCCCCGGGGGGCTTACCATATTCTTATCTCGAGCCTCCCGGCCCATTACTTTGCTGTTTTCTTTGGAGCCCCAGCCTTCTCCATAGAACAGCAGTAACCACAAGAGTTCTAGAAGCCAGTCACCCTTTCCAGGGTAGTCCTTCATTTGTGTATTTGAAGGTGGTGGTCATGGTTTGTCCTCCTAAGTCTGAGCTTCTCCAGCCCAGTGACCCTACGGCCTTTGCTGTCCTGGTAATGCTTGGAATGTGCTCGGTTTTGCAGAAAGCTTCTCTCCAAGGAGCCCAGGTTTATAGGCCTGATTCTTTAGGTCCAGTGGGGAGGCGGACAGCTGGGCAGCTGGCTCTAGGAAAGTTCAGGGCCCTGCTGTCCAGGGCTGGGCCTGTCCACAGCTCTCCCCTGACACTTGCTTCCAGACCTGTCCCGGAACCGGTTCCCTGAGGTGCCGGAGGCAGCATGCCAGCTGGTGTCCCTGGAGGGCCTGAGCCTCTACCACAATTGCCTGAGATGCCTGAACCCAGCCTTGGGGAATCTCACAGCCCTTACCTACCTCAACCTCAGGTAGGGAGGCACGGCCAGGCAGGGGCAGGGAGGGGTGGGAGCCCCAAGTCCCAGCACACGGTACCCCGAGTGCTCCTCCCAGAACCCTGAAAAGAGGAGTGCCCTGGGGACTGAGCCCCATGCTTTTCTCCCTTCCATAGCCGAAACCAGCTGTCATCACTGCCACCCTACATCTGCCAGCTGCCCCTGAGGGTGCTCATTGTCAGCAACAACAAACTGGGAGCCCTGCCTCCCGACATCAGCGCCTTGGGAAGCCTGCGGCAGCTTGTGAGCACAGGGAGCAGAGCAAGAAGAGGGGCTGTTGAGCCAGGCACCAGGGGCCTTTGGGGAGTTTGGGGAGGGGGGGACCAAAGGAGGTGGCCAGAGACCGGAGGCAGTTTCTGATGCCCCTGGTCTCGTGGCTCCTGCCCTACTTCTTTCCTCATTGCAGGATGTGAGCGGCAATGAGTTGCAGGCCCTCCCGGCAGAGCTGTGTAGCCTCCCTTCCCTGCGGGACCTCAGTGTGCGCAGGAACCAGCTCAGCACCCTGCCTGATGGTGAGGAGAATGAAGATCTGGGGGGTGTGGGGGGGGGGAGTGTGTATGTCTACACTGGAGAAGTCGCAAAGACTCTTCACAGAACATCACTGTCCAGGTGCCCAGGGTTTTGCAGTGTATAAAACAAACTAAATTATTTGTGCTTGACCAGCAACCCTCTGAGGCTGGCAAGTCATAGGTTATTAGCTCTATTTTCACAAATGAGGAGCAAGGCACAGAAAGGAGAGTGGGTAAGTGTGTTGGCACCCTGTAGAATTCCAAGGTTGCAAGGGGCCTTTGGGATCACCCAGGGTCATCACTCACCCAGTGGGAGCTCTCGGGCACCTGAGTCAGATGATGCCCTATGCCTCCTCCCCCAAAGATTCTGAGTCAGTGGAGCCATGAGCTGGAGCCCAAGCAGCCCCCAACCCCATTTTAACAAGGTAATTGTGATCCACTCTGACATTTGATAGTCTCTGCTCCAAAGTGGGCCCCCCCTTCCCTTATTCAGCCAGCACTGTTGTGTGCGTCCTGTGTTTTAGGTGGGGGTCAGGTAGATGTGAGTGATGTCACTCACACCAGGGGCCAACTCTGAAAATGTATGGGTTTCATGGGGAGAGACAAGTGGAGGGACGTGCTAGAACGGGACACGGCAAGAGCTGCGGGAGCCGGAGGGAGGCATCTGCTCGGGGAGCTTGAGGAAGACTTTGCCCCAGAGGCGTGGCAGGCGCTGACCTGTGAAGGAAAGTTCTCCTTCCTTCTGCATCCCAGGCAGAGGAAGCCCATGTGCAAAAAAGCATGTGGGTGGGAGCCAGGGCCAGGTGGGAAGAACCGGAGCCATGCTCATCTCGGTTTTAAAGAACAAGAGAGGGGAGTCAGGTGGTCACCCATTTTCTCTGGGCTCCCCCTAGTCCTACTTTGGCCCCTTTTCCTTCTAAGTCGGTAGCAGTGTAAACAAGCATTTGATCAGGGTGCTCTCTGGGCCATAAGAGAGACCCTAGCAAAATGCCCTGGGGACACAGAGGAAGGAGCAGTGAATTCCAACCTGAGTGTCTGGAAAGATTTCGTGGAGGAGGCAACACTTGAGCTGAACTTTGAAAGGTGGTCACAGAAATGAGTGTCCCAGCTGAGCAAACAGCATGTGGAAAGGTCCAGAAGCCGAGGGGTTGGAGGTTGTCTGATGTGGTGTGAGGGTGGGCAGTGAGATGGGAAATGTGGATCAAGCCAGATCATGAACACCTTGACCGTGCTGGGCCAGGGAGTGGTGAGTGTTATTCTGTGTCTCTAGTCATCACTCATCCAACTGTGCATGTTTGAGAAGTAGAAAAAGGCACCCTTTCCTGTGGGTGGGCACAACCTTGCCTGGGGTGGGAAGGGCTCAGCTAGTAAAGTTCGGGCGGGATTGCAGGCCCCTCCTGCCTAGGTGCCTTTGTGCAGGGCACAGTCCGCTCACCCTCAGCAGCCTCGGCTGCAAGTCATGGAAGGTGTTTGAGCCGTGCAATGTCACGGTTTGGTTTGGGTCTCGTGACAGTCACTTGGGCATGAAGGAACGGTTGAAGTATGGAGTGGGCAGGGTGGGGCAGGGGAGAGAAGCACATGAGATGGGCAGGAGCTCAGGGAGGGGAGGCCTGGAGGTGGGCCCGATTTGAGCAGGAAGGGAAGCAGGGAGGTTGTTCCTGGGGAGTGCCCTCAGCCAGCCAGGCCAGAGAATGTGGTGGACCCAAGGGTGGCAAGTGGGCCAGAACAGAGGGCAGAGGAAGTGAGCACAAGGCCCCACCCTTGGGCAGGTTCCTGACTCTTACCTCACCCACCCCCAGAGCTGGGGGATCTTCCTCTTGTCCGCCTGGATTTCTCCTGTAACCGTGTCTCCCGCATCCCGGTCTCCTTCTGCCGCCTCAGGCACCTGCAGGTCATTCTGCTGGACAGCAACCCCCTGCAGAGCCCACCGGCTCAGGTGAGGGGTGAATTTGGGCTGGACCATGGGGACAGGGCTGAGAATGGGTAGGAGTTGGGAGGTGAGTCCCTTTAGTAGCCAAGCAGGATCTGGGGAAGCCCCCTTCGCTTCCCTTAACCCCTACCATGTGCCTCCTTATACCTAGATCTGCCTGAAGGGAAAACTTCACATCTTCAAGTACTTGTCAACAGAAGCTGGGCGGCGCGGGGCGTCTGCACTGGGGGACCTGGCCCCTTCCCGCCCCCCGAGTTTCAGTCCCTGGTAAGTCCCAAGTGGGAAGGAAGGAAGCCCCTGGTTACTGACTGCCCCTTCCTGGCAGCACAGACTCGATGGTTTTCGGTGGGAAGATGGGAGGGGTTGCTGCCCGGTACTGGACTGACCAGCTCTCCCTGGCGGCACCAGCCCTGCTGAGGACTTGTTTCCGGGACGTCGGTACGATGGCGGGCTAGACTCGGGCTTCCACAGCGTTGACAGTGGCAGCAAGAGGTGGTCTGGAAATGAGGTAAGGGCCTCCTTTCCACGAGACACTGGGGGGTCTCAGCCCCCGGGGGGAGAACCTCTGAGTCAGGTGCTTGGTGCCACTGAATATCAGAGTGACATTGGTGTCTAGAGTGGTCTTCTTCCCTTGCCCGGGTATCTCAGGGAGGGGCTGGCTCAGCAGCAGACCCCAAGGGCATGAACCCCATGAACCCCCAGCACCACAGAGCAGCTCTCTCCCATTTTTGCATTTCTAGTCAACAGATGAATTTTCGGAGTTGTCCTTCCGGATCTCGGAGCTGGCCCGGGAGCCTCGGGGGCCCAGGGAGCGGAGGGAGGATGGCTCTGGTGAGTGGTGGGGTCAGGGTAAGGGGGCTGGGGTCATGGACGAGTGCCTGGAGGCCCCCAGTGCTTGCTGACATGCCCTGGCCTCCCCAGCTGACGGAGATCCTGAGCAGATTGACTTCATTGACAGCCACGTGCCTGCGGAGGAGGAGCGAGGCGCTGCTGAGGTGAGGGTCCCAGGGCCGGTGCACATGCCCTGGGCGGGGGCGGGGGGGGGGGGGGGCCGGCGCGGGCTGGGGGGGGGGGGGGGGACCCTCCCTCGACCCCTCTGCTGCTCTTCCCTTAGGAGCAGCGGCCGCCAGAATTAAGCTCTGCGGCAGGGGACGCCGAGAAGGCATCCAGCAGCAGGTACCCCAGAGCCCCCTGAGCCAGCACCTCCTCCCGCCACGCCATCCCCCTGGACCCTCCCTCCTCTCCCGGACCTCCCTCTGCTTCACGGTCCTGCCTCTCCCCTCAGGCGGGAGGAGCCCGCGGGGGAGGAGCGGCGGCGCCCCGACACCTTGCAGCTGTGGCAGGAGCGGGAGCGGCGGCAGCAGCAGCAGCAGCAGCAGCAGCACAGTGGGGTGTGGGGGGCCTCCAGGAAGGACAGGTGTGAGCAAAGGGGCAGGGTTGGGGGGGGCCTGGAAATGAGTGGGAACGAGCCCTCGTAAGCTCCTCTGCCCCTCGGGGTTGGCGGGTCCCCTGCCTGTGCTGCTGGCCCCACATCGCCTTCATTTTCCAGTTTTCTGAAGCTGGGGATCAGGGCTGCTGGTGGAGGTGCTGCTGCCTCGTCCACTCAGGCCTCCTACAAGTATGTGCCCTCCCAGATCCACCTCCCCGAGCTCTGTCCCCGCCCACCGTGCCCCTGCCCCTCCTCTCTGATTCGCTTTCTGTCCGTCCTCAGCGGCATGCCTAAGTCCAGTGGCACCCAGCTGGGAGCTTCAGGAGGGCAGGGAGCCCCTGCCCCCGCCCCCCAGGAGCCCCTTCCTGCAGCTGGACCAGGTGGGACACGGACTGGGGGAAGAGGAGGGGGGACTGCGTAGGTGAGGGGGTGGCTGGGGCCCGCTGGCCTGAGGGAAGGGGCTGGGACTCTGAGGGGTGTCTTTTCTCACCCGTCCCTGGCTCTGGCCCCCAGCAACAGTGCCTGCTCCCCGGCCACTCGGCTCCATTCAGAGACCAAACAGCTTCCTCTTCCGTTCTTCCTCTCAGAGTGGTTCAGGTGGGTTTCCCCTGTCCCCAGTGCTAACCCAGCCCTCACCCCTGGGCTGCGGACACCCCTTCTGGCCTGGGAGTTCTCTAGTCTATTGTCTCTTTGTGTTGAAAATCCCATAAGCACAGGGGCGCCTGGGTGGCTCAGTTGGTTGGGCGACTGCCTGCGGCTCAGGTCATGATCCTGGAGTCCCGGGATCGAGTCCCACATCGGGCTCCCTGCTCAGCAGGGAGTCTGCTTCTCCCTCTGACCCTCCCCCCTCTCATGCTCTCTCTCTCTCTCTCTCTCTCATTCTCCCTCTCAAATAAATAAATAAATCTTAAAAAAAAAAAATCCCATAAGCACAAAGGCAGGAGATGTGGGTGCCAGACACTGCGACCCAGCTAGGAAGTCGGCGGGGCGGGTGGTAGAGACGGCCCACGTTCCTCCTCCTTCTCCAGGCCCTTCCTCACCAGACTCTGTCTTGAGACCTCGGCGATCCCCCCAGCTTCTGGATGAGAAGGAGCTGATGGCACAGCTGCGCCAGGTAAGAGCGGTGGGGCCCGTGGGGCAGGGCGGGGTGGGGCCTTGGCGGCTGCACCAGGCCTCCTCGAGTTTCCTGGCTTCCCGCCGCATCCTGTGGGTGCTTCCACTGAGGACACAAGGGGCGGGCGGGAGTCCCCACCGACCCCTCCCCCTGCCCCCACCCTCCTGCCTCCCAGGTCCTCGAGTCAAGGCTGCAGCGGCCCCTGCCCGAGGACCTGGCGGAGGCTCTGGCCAATGGGGTCATCCTGTGTCAGCTGGCCAACCAGCTGCGGCCCCGCTCCGTGCCCTTCATCCACGTGCCCTCACCTGCCGTGGTCAGTTGGGTCCCAGGGCGGGAGGTAGGGGGTGGGACAGAGGACTGCCGGGCCTCGCCCTTACGCTCTTCTCTTTTTCCTTTCTCGCCCTCCCCCAGCCAAAACTTAGTGCTCTCAAGTCTCGGAAAAATGTGGAGAGTTTCTTAGAAGCCTGTCGAAAAATGGGGGTGCCCGAGGTATGGGGGGGTATGTTCTCGGGAGCCCAGGGCTGGCCCCTACTATAGAGAGTGGCGACGTCCTGGGCTCAGCTGAGCATTCCGCACGGGTGGCAGGGTTCCATTCACAGGGGTGTCTGCTCCCCAGAAGGAAGCATGTCCGCGCGTCCCTGCCCTGCACGCCTCCCTTCCCTGCACTGCGCATGTTGGCGCGGCTCAGGCCCCGGCACGTGAGGGCAGCGGCGGGCGGGACTGTGTCGCTGCTGCTGCTGCTGACGTCTGCTCTTTGTCCTTGTCCGTCTGCCCCTACTCTCCCTTCCCAGGCCGACCTGTGCTCGCCCTCGGACCTCCTCCAGGGCACCGTCCAGGGGCTGTGGACCACCCTGGAGGCTGTGAAGCGGGTGGGGGGCAGGCCCCCCCCGCCCCTCTGGCCCCCCTCTGGTCTGGGCGGCTTCATCTTCTTCTACGTGGCCCTCATGCTGCTGCTCTATGTCGTCTACACTCGGCTCCTGGGTTCCTAGGACCTGAAGTCACCCTTTCTCCCCGCCCCCGTCGCCCTATTTCTATTTATGACTCCTTTGCGACCCCCGTCCCTACCAGTGGTGCCTTCAGCCCCTACCAAAGACACTAGTGAACCCCCTCCCCTCACAAACACTGACCTCAGAGGCCCCACTCTGGTGCACCCAGACCCTGGGCCCCCAGCCTCTGGCCACCCTCCTGTAGCCCCTTCCCTTCCCTCGCCTCCCAGTGCTGATGGTGCCTTCATTCCCTCCAGGCCCTGCTCCCTCAGAGGGTAGATCTCAACCTTCCTCCTTGTGCCGTCCCCCCCCCGTCCTCCCACTGTTATGGGGAGCTAAATTATCTATATTTTGTAGAGAGAACTCTATATTTGTAGGGGATGCAGGGGCCCAGGCTGGGTCCCTGTCTCTGTGTATAAATTGTACAGACCGTGGCCGCCTCTGTGTGTGTGTGTGTGTATGTGTGTGTGTGTGTTTGCGTCTGCTCCTGCTGTGGCCAGGCCCAGCCCTGGCCGTGCCCCTGAGGCTCTATTTGTCACCCTGCCTGTTCCAGCATTTCCCTCTGGAAATGACAGGTCTCTCCTCCCCTGAGCCGTGGTCCCCTGTGTCATCGCCCTTCTGTTACCTGCTGGCAGCTTCCTTGCGTCTCCTTTGCCCCCAAGCCGTGTCCGGGGTGCCCCTGACCTTTGCCACCTCCACCCGAGGGGCCATCCTGTCAGCCCTGTTTGCCCAGGCTTCTTTAGGGTTTCTCCCACCCTGCCCTCTGAGAAGGGCAGGGAAGCCAGAGAACAAGGTGACGTGGGGAACTTAACCTGGGCCCCTCCCCCCAGGAGTCCCTGTGCCAGCCCCACCACATCTTGGAAGAGGAGGGGGCCCCGGGAAGGGGCCTCACCTACATCGCTGCTGTCGTCCACGCACTGCTGGAACGGCCATAGAGGTCCAGGCCGGGGCGCAGGGCTCCGACCCGGGCCGGGAACCCAGGAACAGAGAAGACAGCCGCGCCCGGCCTCTGCTCCCTAGCAAGGACTCTGGTGAGGGCGGCCTCGGGCCTGGCCCTGTTCCTTGGGCGCCCCCCCCCCCCCCCGGCCCGCCCGAGGGCTTGGAAGCCGGGCCGACCCGGCGAGGCGCCTGGCCGCATCTGGGTGTGGCCAAGGGTCTGGGATAGAAGACGCGCGGCGGATGTTGTGTCAAGTGCAATAAAGAAGAAGCCGGGCCCTCCAGGCTGCCCTTCGGGGTGTGTTAGTGTGTGTCGGTCTGCGGATGAATGCGGTGCGTCGCGGGGCAGGAGGCGCCAACACGCCGGCGCCGGGGTTCTGCAGCTGGCCGCGGCGGGGCGCCACTCCTCCGTGCGGGACGGCCGGCGGCGCGCGGACCGCGCCAACCCCGCCGCCAGGGGGCGCCCGCGAGACCGCGGCGGGAGCGCGCGCCACGTGGCCCGGAAACGCGCTGGGCGGTGCCGTGGTCGCGAGGCCCTGAGAGGTGGGCCGGCGACGTGGGCTCGTGGGGCGAGGGGGCGGGCCGCTGCAGGAGGTGGGGGCCGCGCGGGGCGAGGTGGGAGGCGCGGGCGGCGGGGACGGCGCGGACGCGGGGCGCAGAGGTGCTGCCCGGCGCTGCCCTCCCCTCCCCCAGACGCGGCATGTTGCCCCGGCCGCCTCGGCTGTGGGACGCGGGCAAAGAGCAGGCGCCCACGGAACAAGGCCCCTCGGCGGGCGGTGACCCCGGCGGGGCATGGACCTCTGGAGAGGAAGCACTGGGGCAGCCAGGGACTCCCCCACAGGACAGGTGAGGGGCTCCGCCGCAGGGAAATGCGACACGGGGCCCACCGTGTGAGGAAATCTCAGTCGCCCACGTTGAGGAACGGGTGTGCTGAGACCCCCTGCCCCGGGCACCCGTGGCCCTGCCTCAGAAATAGCCGGGGAGGCCGTGAGGGCTGCAGCTCAGTCCCCCCCCCTCCCAGCCCGCAGCCCCGCTCCCGAAGGCCTTCCTGGACCCGGAGAGCGCAGCTGCTGCCCTGGGCCCCCCCAGGCCTGGCTGCCGTGCAGTCCCCGGGAGCCCCAGGTAGGTGCCGGCCTCGCTGCCTCTACCCCGCCCCCCCCCAACCTAGAGCCCTTTCCACCGACTCCTGAGCCTGTTTTAATCTCTTCAAGTGTTCCCTCCCCCAGGCGCCCTTCCCCCCCACATGGCCTGGGAGGTGGCCCCCTCAAGGATGACCGTGCTCGCCCCGTGGGACCCCCGCTACAAGGCTAAAGCAGGACCTGGGCTGGTGTGGGTGAGTTGGGAGTATCTCCGCCTCTGGCCTTGGGATGGGGCAGGGGTGCCCTGGGAGGGGACCGAAGCTCCAGCGGTCTTTCCTGCCCCTTCCACAGGGGCCCAGCTGTGCGTCAGGCGCCTCCTTCTCAGGCCGGACCTTGTGTCATCCCTCGTTCTGGCCGCTGTGTGAGGCAGCCCCAGGCCGGGACCTCAGGCCCCTGGCCCCAGCCACAGGGTATCAGAACGGAGAGCATGCGCCCAGGGATGCAGGTACTTTGCTTGGCCACCCCGGGCCCTGGCGGTGCCCTGCATGAGCTCGTCGGGGAACCAGTGCGGCCCTCGCTGGTGTGGGAACCGCAGCCTGCTGCCCTACCGGCTGCTCTTCTCCAGGGTTCCCGGCGGTGTGCCGTGAAGCTGTCTTTCTGTCAGACCCGCTGCTGCCCTGTGGGCAGCGGGTCCCCCTGTACCTGTCGGAGGCCTCTCAGCAGGTGAGTGCAGTTCCTGCCCTGGCCTCGCGCCAGTCCTCCTGCAGGGCTTGGGAGGAGACCACTTCTCCCTTCTCTCTCCTCAGGTCACCGGCTCTCTGAAGCTGCTGCTCCCACCTCCTGTCATGTCTCCCTGGGTCCTCCGCACCCCATCCCCGGGCTGCTCCACTGCCTGGCTCAGTGGGCCTGAGCTGATCGCCCTCACTGGCCTCCTGCAGATGAGCCAGGGGGCTCCGAGACCTGCCTCCCCGGGGGCTCCCATGCCCCCTGCTGGCCCCCCAGACCCTGTGGCTGATCACCCAGGCCCCAGTGGCAGCCCCAGCTGTTCTCATTGCACTGACCCATCTGTCCCACGAACCCCAGACGCCCGTTGAACATAGATAGCTCTTTTGTGGGTTGAGTGGGATCCCCTACTCCCCCAGGCAGGTTCTGTTGACAATAAAGCAGTGTTTTGGTTTGCAAACAGGCTTCTTGTAGCAAATGAGTAGCGGAGTGGGGCATGGAGACAGGGATGGGGGTCTCTTCTTCTACATGGCTTAGGCTGTCCTCCCCTCAAATTTTTGTTACTCATTGGTCACCCCTGCACCGGGGCAGGGGAACCCATGGACCTCAGACCTTTCCAGACCAAGCAGGACCACTTTAATAGGGCGTGGGGTGGGGGTGCGGGTCCACAGTACAGTATGTGGAAGACAAACATATGGAAGCAAGAAGTCCATCAACTCCACCAGGCTCCAGAGAAGGGAGGATTGTGTGAACACATGGCTGGCACTGGAAGAGGGAAATTAGGAAGGGAGCGGCACAGCACTTTTGGGAGGCAGTAGAGGTAAGACACCTGGTACTTCAGCCCTCTTGCTCTGGCGCCCTGGGGCGGGGGACTGGTTCTTAGGCCGGGAGGAGACACAAGGCAGGCCCTGCAGGTGCAGGGTGGGGAGGAGCAGGTCCATGTGGGACAAGTCATTGGAGGCAGGGTCCGGGGCCAAGGCTGACCTGAGACTCTGGCGTGATGCTGTGGGAACTCTGCCAGGAAAGAAAGGATCGGGGCTTTGGCTGAGGAGGCCTGGCGTTCGTAGGGGTTTGTGGGTGGGAAGAGGGGAGGGTGGTTCTAAAATTTTCTCCCTTAAAAGAATCCAGCTTCTTGGGGAGCCTTTCCTGAAGAATTTCCAGGTACCACATCTGGAAGGGGTGGAGTGGGCAGCAGGCCCTAAGGGGGCAGCTCAGAGCTTCTGCAAGTTGCAGGTCCTAGGGGGCCTGCGAGCCCCTCTACTTTGGGAACAGGTCCGGGAAGGCGTTCATAACTCTGCCCTGTTTTCTCCCCTCCTCCCCATCCATCCCTCAGCTAGACAGGGCGGGGCTGCCCACATCTCCTCACCGGAGCCTCTCTGAGGTTCTGGAACTCGATGCAGGCATAGCTGTGCTGGCGGTTCCTGACGGACCCGGGGGCGTCACCTCGAGCCTCCAGCGGAGGGATCAGGTCCAGGTCCACGTAGTTGAGGTGGCCGTTGGGGGCTTCTTGTATGGCACTGCCCATTCCTAAGTAGTCCGGGGCCACGTACTTGATGCACACGTACTCCCCTGCCAGCTCTGAGGGCGGCTGCAAGGAGGAATGAGCCGCTGCTGGTCCCCAACGTTCCCCGATGCTGCGGCGGGGGCCTTGGAAGGAAGGTCCAGGCCCCCCGGCCCCGAGCTCATAGGAACGGGGCAGGGAGCTCGAGGGCGAGGACCCTGGCAGAGAGCGGCTCATGGGCACGTATTCGCTGCCCCCGCAACCTTGGAGCGGGTGGTGGGGAGCTGCGGGGGCAGAGGCCGCAAGGCGAGGGGGTGCCATCACCATGTAGCCACCTGCTTCGCCACCCCCCATGGGCTCATAGTCGCTCTGGGCTCCCATGGCTATGTAGCCCCCTCCCCGCTCCAAGCCCTCGGGCTGCGAGGCTGCGGTAGCCGGCGTCTGGAGGGTTGCTTTCCCCCTTCTCTCCCCCAGGCCCCTGCAATGGCTCGGGCCACTTGACTGGGCTGCCGAGGCCAGGGTCGCATAAGGTTGGGAGGTGGAGGGTCTGTAAGCGCTCGTCGGGGGATCCCTTGGCAGTGGCTCAGCCCTGCCACCGGCACTGCCATCCCCGAGTCGCTTCATGGCGGCCAGTACGGTCTCGTGAATGCTTTGGGCCACCACAGCATCGGGGGCCTGTAGCCACAGCTCCCCGGGACCCGTGGGCGCCGAGCGGCCGAGCTCCAGGAAGAAGAAAGAGTCTGCGTGGCCGCAGCGGCGCACACTGAGCAGGGACAGGCGCAGGGCGGGCGGCGGCGGCGACGAGGACGACGACGACGACGAAGCCTGGGTGTCCCCAGAGCCTCTGCCCTTGGGCTTCCGCAGCAGGCTCAGCACCCCCGAACCCAGGCACAGGCGGTAGCCGCCGCTGCCCAGGCCTCGTGTTCGCCCCAGTCCCTTGGGGCGCAGTGTCACGGGCCAGACGTCCTGAAATGGAGCGAGAATCCAGGCGGCGGGGTCCTCGTGGAAGCTGGGACCTGAAGAGACGGGGCTGGTCACAGGGGGCTCCTGGGCCCGGGGGTTGGAGTCACTGTGCCGTGAGAACTAAACGCGTGTAAACGCCTCATGTTTGAACTTGATTTCAGAGACTTATGGGGAGGGACAACCCACGATAAACTAAACTCGCCATCACCCAAGCCCCGGCTCCCGCCCCCCACCCCCTTCCCCGGCCCCGGCTCCCGGGCCGCCCGGGGCTCAGGCCTCACCGGCGGCCGCGCGCGCCTCGAGCAGGGCGCTGTACCACGCCTGCTGCTCCGCTTCGCAGGCCGCCGCCACGCCCAGGCTGCGGTCGCGCGTGTAGAGGACGATCAGGTGGCGCTGGCGCGCGTCCACGCGCTTGCTGATGGTGCACGCACCCGCCAGGCTCACGCTGAGCTTGGGCGGCGCTCGGCCGGCGCGGAACTTTTTCTCGCTCTCGTAGCACTCGAGGCGCGGCGGGTCGGCGCGGAGCACGAAGAAGCGGCGGCGCTGGGACTTCTGCTTGCGCAGGTGGCCGCAGAGCCGCACGTCAGCGGGACAGCCCCAGGGCCGCGGCAGAACCAGGGGCAGGCCGGCCGGCTCGGACTCCGGGGCCGCCGGCGGGCCACCGCCTCCGGGCTTCATCCCGGGCCAAAGGCAATGTAGTGGCCAGAGTAGGGGCTGAGACTCAGCAGAGGTGGGGTGGAGGCGGCGGTTTCCGGGGAGGGGGACAGCGTCCTGACAGGTTGCCACCCGTCTTGATGGCCAGCGTCTCACCCCTGCTCCGGACTTGAAGTTTGGGGCCGAGGGTCTGCGGTGGCCCCTCGCCGCGCGCAGCGTGTGCCCCAGTGACTACCCGGCGGCCGGCGACACGCGGGGCTCCAGCGGCCTCCTCCGAGGCTCGACCCCGGCCGGCTCCCCGCGCCTCCGATCGCCTCCTGCCCCCTCCCTCCCTCTGCCTCTGCCCACTGCTGCAGAGTCCCCACCCCCGCGGGGTTAACCCTTTGCGCGCCCCGGGCGCTGGCCGTCGGGCCGTGGGAGTGAAGTCTGATTGGGAAAGTCTGGGAGAGGCGGCCTCCTCCCCACCCCAAACACCCTTGGGCTGGGATCGCAGGGGCGGGGAGTGTGTGGGCGTCTCCACGGATCCGAGCTGACTGCTAAGGGAGCCGCGAAGTGAGGCCAACGTGAGTGGAACTGGGTCGGGAGTGCGCAGTCCTGGCGATTAGGGGACGGCCCTTACAGCGGCGCCACTTCCCACTCTAGGCGTCCAGCACCTGTGTTCCCAGCCCCCTTTCCCCCAGTGGTTCTATACTCTTCCTTCCCAAGCCAGCCTAGTTGCCAGGGCCACCAAGCATTGGGCTGTGCTGATTTCAGCAGAGCTGGAGGTTCGGGTTCTCTCTGGGTTGAGGGTGATAGGAGGGCTCTTCAGATAAGTTAGCCACCAGAATTCCAGTCAAGAGGCCACTGAAGGAGAACCCGTGACAAAACCATCTCTCAGGGGCACTTCCCTGCCACTGCCCTCAGCCCCTTCTCACCACCACTGTCCAAAAAGGCTCTGATTAGAGGTGCAGACTCTCTGGCGGAGGTACCCCTTGCCTCTTACATCCTAAGATTTTGAGATAGGTTTGGGATTCAGACATTTTACACCCCTCTTACACCACAGACTCCTGCTGGGGGGGATGGCACTGGTCACCGCACACTCTGCAAGACACACCAGGCGTTGACGCATGGGTGGGAGCCTTAGAGGACCTTGTGCTGTCACTGTCGTGGCAAGTAAGAGCTAAAGCAGGGGGAGGGGGGCGAGGGTTGAGGAGGGGAAGTGGGCAACCGAGGACCCTGTTAAAGATGGCATATGGGGGCGGGGGAGGAGATATAACAAGAGTACTGAAGCCAGGGAAGCCTGTTCTCTGCCTCAGACCCGTCCAAAGGCCACGACAACCTGAGCTGGGAGGGCTGGCCTTCCCACCTACGCTTCTCCATTTCCCCAGGCCTGTGAGGAAGGGACTCTTCTGGAATACTGGGGAAGCCAGTGGTGCAGTGTGCGTGCAAGCTAGGGTCCTCGAACATCTTTTCAAGGATCATGTTGAGAGTGAGATGCATGGAACCAACCAGCATGGTGAGGATGGGCGTCTGGCTAGTAGGCAGGTGGTGCCCAGGGCCCCCACCAGGTGCATCCGGGTCAGCCGTAGCTTCCCAAGGTGTGGGGGAGGCGTCGGCAGCTCATGCGTGCCCCGGGGCCAGTGGCAGCCTCTGCTCCTGGTGGGTATTGGCCAGGGAGAGGCAGGTATGTGATAGGTCTATAAGCGGCCACCAAAACAGAAGTATGTTCAAGGCCACTGCCTCCAGTGTGGTCTCGACAGATGTACGGTGTGCAAAGGAGCGAGCAAGAGATCTGCAGGCCCCTCCCCTTCCCACGCTTGGTGCGGCTCGGCTGTGCTCCTGGCCTGGAGCCTTCCTCTCCAGGTTTGATTTGAAGCTACCCACAGGAGGGGCTCTTCATCCTTACTCCTTCCCAATCCCCATCAACCAGGCCACCATGCAGCACCCCAATCCTCATGAAATCACGGCTGCCTCAGAGAGACCAGCTCCTGCCTCAGAGACCTTGTGTAACTGAACCCCGAAGAGCTGGGTACGGACGGAGCAGGAAGGAGCTGGGATCTGAGTACCTGGGCTCTGGGCAAGCAGCAGCGGCACAGTGGGTTGGCAATCAGCACCAGGTGATTAAGCGTGCCGGGTACCAGGAAAAAGCTGGAGCCAAACCACTGGCCTAATCAGTTGCCCTAGCAACAACGTTGCCCTTGGCCCTACCCAGATGAGATCTATTTTAGCCTGTTGCCCTGGTAACTCCAGCTGCTCCCCAGGGACAGGAAGTGGCAGAACCCCAGCTCTGCTGGGTGAGAACACCTCCCCCAACCCGAGGGGTCTCCCTGTGCATCCCTCTGTTGGGTGCAGGGGAGCCGTGGGATGGAATCTCCCCATTCTAAATCCCTATGGAAGAATCTTTTTACCAGTGACAGGAGCCTACGGGGAGGAGGCTGGGGTACTAAGGCTGTTCCTGTCAGCCCCTCCCTCCTCCATCTGGAGTTCTCCCCAATCTGTGGAGGGGGATGCAGGGACAGCCTCCATCTCTTTCCTTCACCAACGCCTCCCCCCCCCCCCCCCCCCCCGCCATGGCTCCCAGGCTCCAATGTGGAGGGAATGGAGTTCTTCATGGCCGTCCTGGGGACTGGCTCCTGCGTTGTCACCCACGGGGGGCAGGTGACCTGCTGAAGGCTGGGGCCAAGCCAGAGGGCTCTCCATCTGCAGAGCATGGCCACAGCATTGGCCGCTTGGTCGGAAGCCCAGTGGGAGCCTGGGCGAGCTCCATACCGTGCCTGTGGCCCCACGGTTTGTCTGCAGCCGGGGTCGGATGTGTAACCACCGGACAGGGCCGTGCAACGACATGCTGGGGGCGAGGTAAGGGGAACACAGCCCAGTCATTTAAACATTTTCTAGGAGGCCAGGGATTTTCCCATTCTTTGCTGCTCGCCTGGATACCGGAGGCCCCATGGAGGCGGCCCTTGTGGCTGCTCCGTGCTGGGATTGGCAGCTGTGGTCCTCGCCTTGGCCTGTGCCCAGGGAACTCGGGTTTTCTGTCCTGGAGTTGGAGGCCGACCCAGTGTAACTTCTCTGATTGGTCATCCTGCCCTGGCCAGCCAGCTGGCGAGAGTCCAGGTTGGACAGAGTGCCCTGGGGTGCAGGGAGGGGGACCGCACCGAGCAGTAAGGAGATCCTTGGGAAACAGCTGGAGTGTGACTGAAACTCACAGCAAGGGCCCTTGCAATTTCACCACCAAACCTCAGTGCTTTTGGTTACGGAAGGGAGTTGGGGGTGGCTGGGGAAAAGTTAAGAAAAGGCTCCTTCTCCTCCTACACAACAGGCCAGCCTCCTCCCCTTCCTGGTTCTAAGCAGAGAAAATGGGAAACACAGACAGGGACGGGGACAGAGAGGTAATCAAGTGTGACAGAGACAAATACAGGGAGAAGGGGACAGAACGTGAAAAACCCAGGGATGGTGGTCCACCCTAGGAGATCCACCAGGTGAAGGAAGGAGGGAAGGCGCTGGGAGCATGGAAACACAGACCCAAGACAGGATGGGTTCTGAGCCTTGCAAAGGTGGGGAGGCCACGCCTGACTGGGCAAACAGCAGCAGCTGGAAATATTTCTAGAGAAGTCCTCAAGGTAAATAAAGTGATAATACAGTCCCCACCTCTCCTTGCTGTCCTGCTGTTAAAGGTCATTGGGCGGAAAGACCCAGAGAATCCCAGGAATGAACAGCTGAAGGGCCAGAGTCCCTGCGCAATGTGGAAAAGGGAGGAACGTCTCTTGATAGCAAGGCGGAACGCTGGGCCTCTCCTCTGCCACGTGAGGTGTTGAACCCACACTGGCCACCTTGTCACCACACAAACAGCCCGGACACCATGGCTGTTGACACAACATCCTCAGGTAAAAACAGTCTGGGGAGGGGCCAAGGATGCCCCGGCCTGGGAGCCGGTCTACTCCTGTACTCAGGTCCCACCATCTCCATCTTGGAGTGTCACTGGCACCCCCCGGAGGAGTCACCCCCTCACTGCAGCCACCTAACTCCCACTGCACTGGCTCCCACTGCTAACATGGCCGGCAAGGAATTCCTGTCCTTGGCCAACAGCATCAGCATCTTCACGGACCCATCAGTCACGCTGGGGTCCCTGGAACTAACCCAAAGTGAGACCATGAGAGCCATTTCCTTTTTCTTTCAAATGCAGTTCTTTTCCAACATTGCCTGCAACAGCTTTGGTGCAGAGATTTCGGGGGGTGGGGGAGGCACATGGGGAAAAAGAAAGGAAAAAAACCAGCCAATTGCACAAAGCCTTTCCCTGGAAAAGCCCAGGCTCTGGGGCGGTCAGGACTTGTGACTGCCCTCCCCACCACCCTCTGGAGCTCCGGCTTTGCTGGTCGAGGCACAGATGGGGATCCATTCCACTCCCCATGTGAAAGAGCTGTCTGGGAGCAGGAGAATGGCGGCATGTGTATATATATCTCTGTGTGCACGTGTGTGTGTATATATAATAGGCTATATTAGAAAATTCTCTATGTATAAATATAAAACACTGGTATCCAAACATGACACCACAGCAAACTAAAGTGCTTGACAGGAGCTGGGCATGTCTAAGTATGTAGGTAAAACTATTATTCATCCTGAGTACCCAGGATGAGGGAGGGAGCTGGGGAAGCAAAACCATGGAGGGCCTTCTGCCCTGGTAGGGGTGGGAGGAAAAGGGGGATGCTGGCCCAGGCGCCCCCCCAGCCCCTCCTCAGCCTTCTCAGCCTGTCTGACCACTGTCCCAGGTCAACACCATGCCGCAACTCCACCTTGACCCTAATTTTCCCACTGTGCTCCCGTCCACAAGGAGACCAGTGTTGGAAAATTGGGGATGGGGGAAGGCTTGCTCCCACAGGGGAATGTGGGTCAGTCTGTGCCCACAGCTTCCTCTGCCCACACTGTTGGGAGTGAAGGGCCCACTATGTATGCTGAGGGCAGGAGAGGAGGATTATATTATTGTCATTATAATTAATAATTTGAGAAATCAAACATCATCACTCCTCTAGGCCACGCCCTGCCTTCTCTCCTCCTGGGCCTCCTGCCTGGGTAGGGGCTGGAGGGAGGATGGGAGGAAGCCTTGGGGGCAGCTGATCCAGGAAGCTGCCCTTTTATCTGCAAGCCCCAAGCAAAGCATTAGCATCTCCACCGTGCCCAAAGAGCCCTTCCCTACAAAACAAAGCCCATTCTGGTCTCAGACCCACAGAAATGCCACAGGCAAATGGTCACCAGAGCTCCTGGGAGTAGAGGGGCCCCAGAGGGCAGGGAAGAGCCCCCCCCCCAGGACAAAGTGCTACAAGAATGGGTTGGTGGTTGGAGGTTTGGAGGCAAACGGGCTTGACGAGGATCCAGTCTGGAAAGAAACAACCACAAATTAGGGGATTAGGGGAGAAGAGCTGGAGGCCAGAGAAAAGATGCAGTCCAGGATTCCTTTCTCCCCCAGAATTACTGTGCTGAGGGTTGTGGGAAAGTCAGTGGGCTGAGGCGAGTAGGGGGCGGGGGAGTGTGGGAGACAACAGGGCCCACTGACTAACCCACTCACCCCTGCGTGGCCAAGGCAGGGCTTCACGAGGGAGGGGCACAGCTTCCGGCCCACATTGCCCCGTTCTCCTCCAAGGATTCTGTCCCCGACCCCCAGAGAGAGGCCATACCCGCACTCACCATGAAGGGGTTGGTAGAGGTCCCAGCTGGCTGGCTCAGTTGCCTCTGCCCCAACTTGGCTGATCCTAAGTCGCTGAAGGAAGAACCTGGAAGCAAGAGCAGAAACTCAGCTGACATAAGCCCTCCCCTCATGCTGATGCTGACCACTCCGTTGGGCCTCCCCGCAGGGCAGGGACCGCTCCATCCTACAGCGGCAGCAAGAACGGACCTTTCTAAAGTCGGGGATTAAAAAAAATAGTAATAAAAAAATAAAGTCGGGGAATAAGGGTATGGAGCAGAGTCAGAGAATACAGGCAGGTCTGTGGCTTCTCTGGCCCCCCCCTACTGGTCCAAAAGGGAACTAGCTCAGATGTCTGGCTCCCTAAGAGTCCTAATATTCATTGCCACCCCCCTGCATCCCCGCAGGCCCTGGGGGTGGGGAATGGGGGTAAGAAAGGAAGGTGTGGTCTGAATCCCTTACCATTCTGCTGCTGAGTCATCGAGGTCTGTGGGGGGAACAGTGGCGGGGGGAAGGTGCTGACAAAGGCCCTGGTGGGTGGCACTGTCTGGGGGAAGCCAGGCCCCGCACTGCTCATCCCAAAGCTGGGCCCTGTAGAACGAGGACATGAAGTTCAGGCGAGGTTCTGGAAGGCAGGCTGGAGAACGGTTCTTCCTAGATCTCTCCATGATAGGGACATGGGATAGAGTGTGACCCTAACCAGAGGTACCCAGTAAAAGTACCCCGAGTGAGCCATGGAAGTCTTCAGCTTCCATGCAACCTAGCAAACCTGCCCTCTTCCTGTCCACGGTGGCCTGTGGCACGGAGGGCACAGCGGTGCCCAGCAGGGGCGTGGCCCAGAACTGGGGTCAGCTGCCTGCTTCTATTAACCTGCACCGATGAAAGCAAAGTACTGGCCCTCTATGTATGTGCCTCAGGGGTCTCATCTCTAAAAGTGGGCCGGGCCCCTTTCCTAGGGCTGCTGGGCAAAGCAAATAAAGGCTGCAAGCTCTCAGCAGTGGAGTTTGCCACACCGGTCAGCGGTCAGTGGTGCTAGCTGCTACCAGTCTCTCCTCCCGGCCTCAAGGTTTTTAAGAACAACAACAACAACAAAGGCAGGGGTGGGGGCGGAGGAGAGCATGCCTCTGAAGAGAGAAGAGCTGAGGCTGCGGAGGAATAGGGAGCGAGGAGATCACAACACTCGGGCTGATGAGAGCAGGGACCAGGGGCAAGGCTGCAGGTGGGCCACAGAAGGGGGGTGCGCACTGCCGAGGGGCAAGAAGGGAGAGTCACCGCCACGTCAGTCGCAGAATCGGCTCGGGTCAGTAGTAGCCTGCTTTTCGTAATTCTGAAATTCTGATTCTGGGGCTTGGGTGCTTCTACTCTTTGCCCACTAGGCGGCCCGGAAATTCAACCTGGTCTGGCCCGGTGAAGAGAGGAGGACTGAGGCTGTCTGCCACTCCTCCTGACAGAGA